AAAGCAACTTCTTAGCCTAATGAATCCATTTTGAAAGATCGACATTTGGTTGATGAGTTTTTTTTTTGCCTTGCTTTCTGATATGTTCATGAGGTATCAGCTAGTTTATTTTTCCTCTTCATCTCCAAAAACATATTTGGTCAATGCTCTTAATAACAGCCTCCTATTAGTGAGATAAATCCGAAGTAGAAAAAAAAACACCGCAATATGTCCACATTTGCTAATATGATCTCTTCGTCAACAAAATATCGCATTAGATATGGCCAATATGAGCATTTTATTAATTGGAAATGAGTTTTTACCGTATTTTTACCGCGCTAGAGAAGAGAAGAAAAAAAACAAATCCAACGGCAACGAAGCAGAAAAAAAATTGAGAAAAATACAGATGACCGTTGATACGCACCGAATATGACAAATTTAAATATGAAATTCAGAACACACCGTGTATTTGTTGAATTAATAATTCTAAGAAGTTAAGAAAAAACCTATGATTTTTAATCAAAAATGCATAAATCAGAGAGAGAGAGAGAGAGAGAGAGAGAAAGAGAGCGCTGGCCATAAAATCGGATCGAATAGAATACTTCCATGGAGTGGTTGAAGAATATTCAAATGATGTGTGAGAAATTGATGATTGGCACATAAAAATTTGAAGCATCGCGCAACACAACGCGATAAAAAATGTTTTCTTTTAATCTTCGAAATGGGTTTTTCGCCCATTGACTCTTCACGATCACGAAATCGTTTCGACAAAATTGAACAAACTTTCTATGGTGCGATTATTGGTTTTGGGGCGTAAGTCCGCTCAATTTCGGCTCGATGGATTGTCATCGCTATAAAGAAGAATCAATCAATGAACATTATATTCGATATAATAGATAAAAATCAGTGAAACTTGAAGAAAACTCAAGGTATTTTTTGAATAATTTACTCGACACCTTTTGTCATCGTTGATGTTGTTGTTGTTATTGTTGTTGGCTCAGAATGGCATTTACAATGCCCCGCGACCACACAAACACTTCCACCTTCCAGCCAGACGTTATTATTCATGTTAATTGTGTTGAAAATTGCTGAACAAAAGGACAACATTTTGAATGTGTCATTCTCGAACAAAGCCAATGTGTGTGTCTGTAGAATAAAGCAGTTCGAATGACGACAGAATCGCTTTTGAACGATTAGCTGCGTCCATTTTCATTCAACACAAACACACACAGCACCATCTCAATAATATTAATTATGTATCAAAAGCAGAAAAATCTGCGTACATCGAATCGATATGTTTGATCAAATTACCATTTTATTGCTCACCAGCCTCAAACTGAAAACGAAATGCAACATTAATCATATGCACGTATGCTTGTATGTGCAAGCAGGCCATAAAACAAATACTGCATCGCTTAAAGCATTTGCCATTTTAATTAAGATATTTGTATCATTCACACCACCACAGAACCGAGAAAATTCATTTAGCCCGGCTCCACAGACAAATACATACGGTTTTGGTATATTCGGTGCGTCGTTCTGTGGATAGACGATGAGTGCATTTTCTTTTATTTCATTCACAGACTCGTTTTAGTTTCATTATATGTTGCACCGTTTGTTTTACGCGAATTGTGACAAGCGCAGAGAGAGAGAGAGAGTGAGACCTGAGAGTATGCAAAGTGAGGGTACCGTGTTTGCCTTCGGCTAGATCGCTGGACTGCGCCAACCGGCATGCACACAGGCATTCTAGCCGTAAACAGGAGAGTGAGACAGCGCACAAGATTTGCACATTTCGAGTGGACGTTGCATGTAGCGCGTATATTCGTATGTTTGGTGATATTAAATCAATTTGTATCAACAAACATTGAGATTTTTCAACACAATTACCGTCTACAAATTGAAATGTTCCACAGTAATGATCGCATTCAATCGTTGCATCTTATCGATTTTGAATGGCGATAACCGTACAGCTAATTCAATTGGATTTGTCATGCAAGTCATATGCAAATTTTCAAACGTACAAACAAGACGATGGAGAAAAACTAATTCGCATTTAAAACCGAAAAGCATCACTTGTTGTACAAATCGGCTTGAATTTGATTGGACAAATTTTATGGCTTTTAAATGAAATAACAAATATTTTGCCATTAATAACTACCGAGATTAAGATAGCGACACATGTTCGAATGGTGTTTTATCGAACAGATGCAACCAAAATTATGATGTAAATTTTAAGTTGAAACGTGTTTGAAAAATGAAAATCAAGTTGAAAATATTTTGACACAATTGAAGGTAAAAGTAATTTCTTACATTCTGTAAGTGAATGTAAACTGAGTTTTTTCTCTGAAAATCTCGAACTTTTCACATCTTACATTCAAATAATAGGTATGGAAAAAATTCGAAAAGCATTTGCTTTGCAAATATGCAAAACTTATTGTCAATTACATTCACACAAAAACGGGTACGACCACTTGTTGGATGATGCATTTTGGCTTTCATTTTCTGTTGATGCACATTTCGCTTTTTTTCCTTCATTTAGTTTACGAGTTGTAGACAAATGAGAAAATCAATAGAAAAAATTTGTTTCAATTTCGAATGAATGTTCGTTGAGTGGAGTTAATAAATTGAAGAGAGTGCGAATGGAGTATCATCTTCGATAATTTACTTAGCATATCGCTTCATAAAATTGATTGCGAGCACAATATAAAATCGTAACCATATTTGGAATAGACCGGTGTGTGGATATGTGATACACCGTGCGTTTGATATGTTTCTTCGTTTTTTTCATCTCATTTTCAAAAGTATCAAATTACATTTTCCAAATTCGTTTTGGTTCGCCGATTGGCCATAATGTGAATGCATACACATTCCGTGCTGAGTTCAAGTGATTTTCTCGCGCGCTCTTTTTGACAGCAAAACATTTGACTTGCTTCATTTTCACCGTGCGTTATAAATATGGAATATAAAGTTGAGCTGTTGGTGTTGTTGTCGTTGTTTTTTTTATTGACGCATTGAAAGCGGACACCATTGAACTTGATAATTTTATTCAGGCCCATATTTTGTTGTTTATCCTTTTGGTTTTTCTGCCAACGCTAAAAATTCCAATCGATCATCACGTTCTGAAGAGAGGAAGAGCGAGAGAGACAGAGAGACAGAGAGACAGAGAGACAGAGAGAAAGATGGAGAGGAAAAGAGTGAGGAAGAAGAGAGAAGAGTATAGAGATAGAAGCAAAGTGCAAGAAGGTTAGAGAGAGAAAGACAGCGTAGAAGGATAGAAATCATTCAGAACTATGAAGCGAAGTATATTTTTTTATTGGAAAGCGAAGTGGGAAAAAACATCCAACTGAGACAGAAAATGAGATGATAAGTAAGTTAAACGCCGGTTCTGAGCTCGTCAATTTATCTTTTCGCATTAACATTTAACAAAAGCAACAAAACAAATGTAACACATTTTTTCGGTTGTATTTGAATTTATATTGGTGACAATGGAGGCCGCGTTTGCATTGAGAATGTGACACGAAGATGTCAATGTGCACATGCTGTTCGTCTTTTTTGTCTTCCTCTCTTCATTTATCGCCTGAGTTTGGGTCGCTTTTTGTATGTTCGGACTGTTGGTTTTCTTCGCTTTTCGGAAATTCCCTAACGAATTAGTGATCTTTCAAATTGTACGGACACAAGTCGTGAACCAATCATCAAAATCCCCATATAAATTATATCTCATATAAATTGAGTGATAAGTCGCATACGTTTGCTTTTGATCCGAGCAGAAAAAGATGAATGTCCATTGTCCAGTCGGCTTCATTTGAATGGATTCAATAAATTCAAACAATTGTTCGCTTATCACTTTGGATTTTTCATTTGAAATGCATCGCGAGCGCACGTATTTACCTTGTGGAATGTGAGTTCGATTCTAAATATAGGTACATTTTGTTCCTCTTCCGATCATTGCTTTAATCCGCTTAAAATTATAACGCATCGTTGACAAATGGGGAGCAACAATGTTCGATTGATGAGCAACAAAAAGGTGGATTAGGTAATGCCCTGATTGATATACAGTGTATGTATTATACACAGCATATCATGCAGTAGAGCAGTGATTGAGCTACAAATGACATGAAACGCTTAAATTCCTTTCAGTTTAGCTTCACTTAAATGAAATACGTTAATTGATTGCGAAAAAAGGGGATTCACTCGATTGTAGTGCGAAGTGATGGAAGTGTGAACCAAACGAATTGCAACAAATTTCCGTTTTGTGGCTTTCAACAAAGTAGCACTTATTAATTACAATCTAAGCACTTTGGATGAATAAAATTAAAATGTATAACGCCGCAAATGTAGAAATGATTAGCCGGTAGTGTGGTTACACACATAACACTCAGCATTGTGAGAATGTACAGTACACTGTACAGTATACGTATATTCCTTATCTATTCACTTAAATATACATAATTACAATTTCAATTGTGCATAATTCCCGTCATATAATTCAATGATGTTCATATTATCGCTCGTTAGCGCATGTTGCGCTGATTCTTGTGGTTGTAATTCATATCACTGACGTATGCCTGGTGCTAATCGCTCGACCAGCGAGTGCACATACACACACAAATACAGCGCGTGTGTGCTCCAGCCGTGTGGTAACTCATGCACACTGCACTTCTTCAATGCAAACAATGTATGTACGGGCTAAATGTGAGAACGCCATCGAGAGAGCGAGCGAAATAAAAGAGATGAAGAGAGTAAAGGCAAATCTACGCGCGTTGCCTTCACCAGTTCAGATAAATCATATTCGATAATAATATATTGACAAAATAATTATGTATATTTTGTATATGGGCAAAAAAGTATCCAGCAAAAAATTAAGCAATAAGATGCACGTAGAGTGTAAGTGTGAATGTGCGAGCGCGCGCTCATCATGCAGCGCGTATATATTATGTTGCGATAAGGCGTTGTGTTTTGTTGTTGTTGTAAGAGGAAGAGAAAATTGTTTGGTCTGATCTGATAAAATATTTGCATTTTAGCCGGATAAAAGGCAGAAAATCATCATCATTAAAAATAATAACAGTGAGAATATGCAAATGTGGTGGTGATGCTGTTGCTGCTGATGCAGTTGCGGTTTTGTATAAAATCTCACACTCGGCACAAAAACAAAATCGAACACGGCAAGCCGCCCGCCTTCCGTTCGGTTTGGTCAACGGAACATAATTGTCACATAAAAACGTCGATTTGTGCAAATTTTTTTCGTTCGCGACTATAAATAAGCTCGGCCGACATCCAATTTTGCGCTGTTCAAACATAACGACGACAACGAATCAGTTCATCTCAGAGGGAATTCCCATTTCAAACAAGTCCATACGAGTGTATAATTGAAATTCGCAAGTAGTTTCGCGAAGTGTAAGCGTTTTTTATAACAGAGATTCAAGTATTGTTTGGATTTAAAAGAGAAAGAGAGAGAGAGAGAGAGAGAGAGAGAGAGAGAGAGAGAGAGAGAGTTTAAAAACCGTAAACCAAATGCCAATCACACACAAAGCAACATTGCCATTATGTCGACCAGGAGAGCCGTCATTTATGCAAAAAATGAATTGCCGATTTGATATTCCAGCCGATCATTTGGTATCCAATTCAAAACGCATACATCACACATTCACAACAAGAAGTAATGTTTTTTTTCCCTTGATTTTAATTGTTTTTTCAGCCTCCAAGGTATAAAGACCTCGGTGTTGATATACTTGAACGGTTTAACGATGAGAACGTTCACAAATTGCCGGTCAAACCAATTGTGTATCCGAATTTGGAATTTTTGAAAACTTTCGAGAAAAATGCCAATTTCTCCACATTCATTCCACAGCATATGACATATGCAAAAGCATTGATGAAAATTTTTGATTCGGCCAAAGATTTGGATGAACTCATATCGCTCGCATTGTACTGTCGTGATCAAGTCAATTCGCAATTATTCATTTATGCATATTTTGTTGTGCTAACGCATCGTTATGACACTGATAACATTGAATTGCCACAATTATTTGAAATTGCGCCACATCGATTCTTCAAAAAAAGTACCTTGGTCGAAGTACGCGAGAAACAACACAGTTCAGCTGTGGCAAAGCGCAACAGACGACAGGCCAATACTGATGATGAGGTAACAATTTCAAAATTTTCACGGTTTTTCATAATTTTTTGTTCGGTTTTTCTACAATTTTTGTTGAGTCTTTTGTTTAAAGCCATCAATTGAAGTTCCGTTTCGTGGCACGATGTCAGTGTCAAATGTGGAGGAAAAGCTGGCATTCTTTCGTGAAGATATTGGAGTGAATAGGTGAAAAGTTAACGTCATAATGCAATTTTTTCCGTTTTGTTATTTTAATCAGTTCATTCCTAGTACGACATAAGTGTTCATCTAATCCGATTTCTTCTACTTTTGATAGTCACCATTGGCACTGGCACGTTGTCTATCCAGTTGATGCATCCAATCCAGTATACTTTGACAAAGATCGACGCGGTGAACTTTTCTATTATATGCATCATCAATTATTGAACTGGTAATTTTACGTTGTCATTTGAATCGTTTGACTGAATCAATTGTTCTAATTGAAGTAGTCGAATTTGGCGAAAAAAAATATTTACCACAATAGATCGAAAATTTAAAAATTCCAACAGTTTCTCTGTGTGATTCGATACGATGTGAAAATAAAGAGAAAAAAATATTAATCCATAGGTATGACTGCACACGAATGGCGTTGGGAGTTCCAATGGTTTTGCCATTTGATAATTTCCAGAAACAAATCAATGGAGGATACTTTCCGAATATGACAACCGCTTCATCATCTTTTATCATTCCACCGCGTCCACCGGGATTTATGCAGGACCTGCACAGCGATAGCAACGGTGTAAATCTGAAAGTAGCCGATTTAGAGCGATGGTACCAACGATTTCATGAAGCTATTGACAATGGATTTTGTTTCGATGTAAGTTTTTACTGTTAGTTTTAAGCAGCATGTATCAAATTGGTTTTTTTTTTCTATAGTCACAAGGGAATAGGATAGACTTGATCAACGATGGAGGCATTGATATTTTGGGGAATATGGTCGAAGCGAATGCTTTATCGAAGAATTACGGATATAATGGAAATCTCCACAATTCCGGACATGTAAGTTTTGATTGAGCCAAAGTTTCATTACATTTTTCAGTCATAATTCATGACGTGGTTAAATTCCAATTTGACCCAAGGTAATGACATCCTCCATGCACGACCCGGACGGAAAACATAAAGAGCCACCAGGTGTTATGGGTGATACGACGACTGCAATGCGCGATCCATTATTTTTTCGATGGCACAAAATGGTTGATCAGCTCTTTACTAAATTGAAAGATCGCTTGCCGCCATACCAAGAGGCCGATTTGCAATTCAAGGACATCACAATTAAATCACTTAACATTCTGGATGGATCGAATCAATCGACCGAACAGTTGATCACATTTTGGCAGAAGAGCACGGTCAACTTACAAAATGGCTTAAATTTTCATCGGTCCGAACCCATTCTCGTCACCTTCACGCACTTGAACTATCAACACTTTTCATACCTGTAAGTTGCAGCCTAAAAAAAAATAAAATAAAGCATTTCACATCCATGAAAAGGTGAAAAAATGAAATATTCTTTGATGCAGGTTTGAAGTTGAGAATGGAAACTCGGCGCCTGTCGATGGAACCGTTCGAATCTACTTACTTCCGATAAAAAGTGACAAAGGTGATCCGTTGCTGTTTGCAGGAAGTCGAAAACTAGCGATGGAAATCGATCGATTCCAAGCCACATGTAAGATTCAACAAAACATTCACATTTTGGTTGCAAAAAAAAAAAAAAAACAAATTCTGTTTCTTTCCGCGCAGTTCCACCGGGAACGAGCAAATTGATGCGAAAGTCAATCGATTCATCGGTGACAATTCCATATGATCGAACGTTTCCCATGCAACGTGACGAAAACGTTTTTTTGGTTTGTTATTGTTATTGTTATTGTTTGATTTTTGTGAATAAACTATATTTAAATTGAGCTGTCATCAATACATTATAATGAATGGGATCAATATTATTATGTAAACGATAAATCGAACGAAACAGATTTAGTTCACACGGCGATTAAGATAAACAGAAAAAAATGGGCAAAAATAGAACACGTACAAATAAATCGGATCGGTTTTATGTGTGTATGGTGTGGTGTGGTGTGGTATTTACTTATAGTATGGCTTCTTTTCCAAAGAGGGATTACCAAGAGATTTCGATCGAGTTATTGTGTCAATTTTAATGTGTACGACTTCCATCGTGTCGCGCTTAAAATATTTTTGTTAACACTAAGTCGGATTAGATGAACATTTATGTCGTACCATAAACGAACTAATTAGAATAACAAAATGGGGAAAAAAAATTGCACGAGTTTGATCAAGCCGTTTTTCTTTGAACTTTATCAGTCAGACCAACCAGAAGACGTTCAAACCATTTGCATGTGCGGTTGGCCACAGCACATGCTATTGCCCAAAGGACCGGAAGACGGGTATCCTTATCGGATTTTTGCAATGATTTCCGATTACAAGTTTGATAAGGTAATCTCGACGTGTTTATCAATAACATTGTTTTTTGAATGGAATGCGATACTTTTTTTGGAATGGAAACTGATTACCATTGGAAATTGAAGAAAAAACTCGATTCAATTTGCTGCCGTTGTTAAATTCGATTTTTTTTTTGTTTTGTCGTTCGCAGGTTGATCAAGAACCTTCAAATGGTGTTTGTAACGATAATTACATAATGTGTGGTCTACGAAATCGAAAATATCCCGATCGTCGCCCACTTGGTTTTCCATTCGATCGTCCAGCTGCCGATGGCGTGACGACTGTTGATGACTTTGTGTCTTACTTCAACAATATGATTGCAAAACAAATCACCATACGTCATCTCAATGAAAATAAGGCGCAAGGCGGCGATAACAAAACAGTGAAACTTTGAGAGAAAGAAAGAAGAAAGGAATAGAGAAATAGAGAGAGAGATAGAGAGATAAAAATAACAACAATGGCACCATTCTATTTCAATCATTCTCTCACTTTCATTTCCTAGCAAAAAAAAGAACTTAAGCATTAAGTGTTCGTATTGTATGTATTTATGTTTACTAAAATTTATGGCAATAATATTTTCCAAATAAATGGAATATCAGCAAAAGAGAAAGAATATCACATCCGAATTGTTGTTGTCATCATTGCTAATACGCACCGTTATTGGGTATATCAACAAGATGACCAAAGCGACAAGCTAATTTAATTACGCATTCTATTGAAATGCAAATGGCTTTTTGTTCATCGTTCATCGCTCATTCATTCGATACGTCATTCTTTAGCTCCATAATAACATACATCTTATCAGATTACATTGATACGGAATTCTTCTTTTTCTTTATATTGTTCCAAACTCTTTTCAACCCAAAAACGATTAACGAAACTTTTGCCATTTAGGATTTTTACGACAATACGGCCGCGATCAGCGAACGAATTCTTTTTAGTCTAATCTGATGCAATTGGCTTATGACTATTCGCCCCATTTAGATTGTATAAATTTCCCAATTTGGTCCATGCTCCAAAAAGTTCATTATACAAAGTACGGTTAATATTTTTTATGCGTGTCGCATAATGTCAACTGTCAAATGCGATAAATTTTTATGGATGTTTATTCATATCACTGTTGAGTGCTAAGAATGCTGTTAAAATGTTTATGGACGTTGTGTGTGTGCGTCTGTCTATTTCTCCCTTTTTCTCTGGGTTTTGTTTCCAATGAGCAAACTCATGGCCAGGAAGATGAAGAAGAAGATTCATTTAAATTACTGAATTATTATAATTATTGTATGGAAACTTGTATTTCGTAGATGGATGATATACAAAATATGACCATGAAACTATGAAATGGAACAACTTTTCGAGATTTTCGATGTTTGATGAATTAAATTTGACAATAATCCAAGGAAAAATAGCATGAAAAGACTATTCATCTATGAGAATTTGTGCATTACGAAATTTCATCGTTTTTCATATAATCCATCAATCGTCGATGAATTAATCGTCGTGCGTTGGATTCGTTTGCAATTGCATTTTTATTTCACGTGCAATTTGATTCAAGGCTCATGTGGCAAATGAGGCAGTGTGTAGTGACTGAACGATTTTTTTTTAAACGAAGCAATAGATACGATGTGCTCGCAATGAGAAAAAAAACAGTGCGCAGACCGCGTCTTGTTGTTTTATGTTTTTTTCTTCTCTTCGTGTGGAATGGGTTTATTTTTTATTTTTGAAACTGATATGAGAACGACGACGACGACGACGCGACGAACACAGAACAAACGGCAATGAGTACAGATGATTCGTGCACATGGTTGTTTGTTTGTTTGGTTGGTTCTGGCTTGATGTGCGGGTATCGGGCGCATGAACAATAAGAGATTAGCAGCACACAGTGTATTTTAATGTATATCAACTTTCATTGTACTGAATTGCATGGTTCAAAATGTGGATAATGTAATCGCCCAGACGCGCTCGCACGATCACATAATTCAATAAATTAAAAGACAACAAACAAACAAACGAACCAACCAACCAACCAGCGAACGAACGGTTAAACAACAGCAATGAGGAGAGGAGAGCCAAAACAACAGAGAAAAAAAAATAACCGAGAAGCGAGTGCACTCGAAACGCGCGGCACACGAAAAAAGAGCTACTCACAACAAATTCAGAAGCAAATGCAGAAGCAAAAGCCAGTCACAATATGACATGAAAAACCCGTCGACGCGACATCGATACCAGAGCAGAGAAAACAAGAGTTTTAAATGCAATTTGTGCACCATCGTTCATGAGCGTGTATGGTGCACAATCCACAATCTTATCCACATATATTTGCCGTGATAGAGTGGCACGGATGGCGGAGTGGGTCCTCGCGAAATCGCAATTGCACGTTTCGAAACGATGCGGGACCGGGGCATTTTTCGGAAAATTGTACATTTCGATCGGGTCTAACGCATTTTTAAACGCGGACACATGGAGACATTTTTGCAATGTCGTGCGCTCGCGATCGCAGCCTTCCATATCTGCTTCAGTAGCAGCAGCAGCAGCAGCAGCAACATCACCATCTCATATTCATGCTAATAAATGTTTTATAATATAATTTATTGTGATTTCATTGGGTTTGGATGCATTTCATTTTCTTTTGTCGTTTGCTTTTGAATAGTTTAGCCTTTGTGGCATTTTTAGTGGATTGTCTCTCGTTGACTATTTTTCTATTCCAGAGAGACCTCAACCGATCCCCATACATATTTGTATATATATATATATATATATTATATGCATTGCACGTGTTACACGCTTAGCAATACTTCTTTCAAGCACTTTATGAATTCTGAACATGTAATAACCTTAATATTTTCAAATGGGCTACAGGTTCAGAGCGCGCACACATTCATCCGGCACAAACGATTAAAATGATAATGCCGTAACATAAACATACAATAATTTAATGTAAATGTCTCGAATGTTTCAAAAGGATGATAAATAGGATGATGTTGCTTTCTCTCTGTGGAAAATGGGACGAAAATTCCACTCGTACAATTTTGAATAAATTTTTTTATGAAAAAAATTGAATGTGATTCTGAAAATCTTTTCGAGTTTATTATTTCTTACAGTTAAATTAATTCATTATAATAGATTAAAAATCAATTTTTTCGTCAATCACATGTTAACTGCGAATACAAAAGCGATTAATTTGAAGAGAAAAAAGAGTTTCTCGGGCATTGATTTAATTAGTATACGTTGAAATATGTGTTCGATATTTGGTGTAAGGTGTGAAAAAGCGCAGCCACCATACAATGTTGCAAGCAAAACAATATGCTTTCGTTTGCCAAAATGATATGCGGTGGATGGTTTACAAAGAGAATTCTTTCGTTCCAGTGACTTCGTATTTTAAAATTTAAATTTGTGTCCATGATCCACGTACGTTACGGTATGTTATATGATATTATTTCGTTACCGTATGTCGTTTCGTGTATGTGTGTGTCTCTGTCTAGTTGCTTTCTCATTGCCATCGGTCCTTCAATACTGACAATGCTTAGCCTTTCACAATAATAATAACAGCAAAAACAACAATAAACAGCAACAAAAAGCCTAGCGAATGCACTTCAAACATTTCAATCGGTTGGTTCCCGCGCGCGAGCATATATCGTGTCAGGTTATTTGGTGTATGTTAGTATATATGGTTGGCGGCAACCTTAAACTGTGCTCTGCGCAACATTTTCGTACTATTTGTTATTTGGACCTCGGAAGATGTTTGCGGCTCTGTCTCTCTATCTCGCTCTCGCTCTCTTGTTCTCCTTGTCTTTCTCTCTCCTCTTCTGCTGCTACTTACAGTCACTCTGTCTCACAGTGTTTAGCATGCGCGCGCGTACACACGGCCCCATCAAAATTCTCACACACATTAAGTTGTGTGTAGCTTCACGAAGATACACACAGTGCACTAGCAATAGACGCAATGCAGCAAAGGTGAAAGCCTCAGTGCTGGGCACACACAAAAATCCATTTGTAGCATTTGCTTTTTTATGATCGTTGCGATTCTGCGATTTTGTTTTTCTTCTTCTTCTTCTCTTCGTTTTCAGTGTAATCCATATCTCGCGAACACACAGTGCACTTTCGAAAGAAAAGAAACGAAGCAACAACAAAAAACAGCGAAATATGTGCAGTATCGGAACCGTGCACCCGCCGGTTCATGCGAATCGGTATTGTACTGTGTATATGCAATTCGCTCTCATATTGGCACTTATTGATAGATAATTCACCCTCATTTCATAATAAATTGCTCTGAATCGATCACGACAAAATGCGAATATGTGCAATTTAATATTGTGTGCTCTTTGATGTTTTGTGGGCCCATGCCTCTTTTTTTTCTCTCGCTCTCTCTCTCTCTCTCACTCGTTTCATACTCTCGATTTGGGTACAAAGGGAAATTCGATTAATCTATTACACATTGTCTTCTCTCTCTCTCTCTCTCTCTCTCTCTCTCTCTCTCTCTCTCTCTCTTTCTCTCTCTCTCTCTCTCTTTCTCTCTCGCGCTGTGGTTGTTGTTTTTCTTCTAATTATATCAGTGCTTTGTTTGCTCGTGCAATATGTGCGCGCGCATTGCTCTACTTTCATTCGATTGCTTGCCTCCAGTTCATTCGCCAAATTGAAGTTCATTCGATGTGTGGCTTACGTTTTAGGTGGCTTTTTTTCGTGTGCATTCTTTTTAACGACTCCAAATGCACTGATCGCAATTTATTTTCCATATCATTTCGTGCGATTCATAACCCCGTGTATCCTCTATGCACATCGAAGTGGTTTTTTTCTTGCAACAGACAACTTGCACCGCGCGCATATATGACTTACAGCCAATTGACGCTGTAAAACAAAAACTGCACACCGCTTATTGTTTCGCAAATTGCACTTTCCACAGATGCTCCACATGATAAACTTGATTATGATCTTCGGTGTTTTTTTTTCTTTCTTCATTTCGTTCGTAGAAGCGAAAATACCAATCAAAACATTAATTTATAGTGTTTCAATTGTAGTAGAAATGATCGAAACCATGCTTAGCCTCAAGTACTCTTTTATCTATGTGAATCATGTGAATTCGCATATGAATGCAAAATTCAGTGTCACTATATCGAAACGCTTGCCTTGGCGAATTCAATGCGCTTGTTTCAATGATTTCCATTTTTATTGCAAACTAATGAAATGAGAACAGAAATGGGTTTTTGTCCAACGATAAAATAGCGTATTTTGACATATAAACACGTTTCAATACACTTGTTTATAAGGTGAGAGAAATGATGTTTAATAAATAGTATCAGTACTACTTAAGCCCTTCATTGCGCTATTAGTCTGAATATTGGATTTGATTCGAGTTTTGAACAAGACTTGATTTTGAATGTGGTGCTAACTATTTGTCATATACACTCGACAAAACGTCCAATTGGCCGTCAATAAAACAGTCCAATAAGATAAATTAAAAGTCGTTCACAATCACGTTATATTGAGTATTCAGTGTAGAACAACTGTTTACATGATTTGTTCCAAAAAAAAAACATCGTTTGCTCGTGATAAGATTGTTTTCACTGTTGAACGATGAAAGCAATACGACTATAAGTGAACTCTCGTGTTTTATCAATTGAACTGATCTGAGCTACATTTACATTGATAACAAACCACAATCAACGAAGCCGAGATACACGTCGACGTGATGTATGTAAGTTATTGATCTGTGCTGTGAGTTTTGTGAATGATTTTAGAGCTTAAAAACGACAACTGTTCGGTAAATCAGAGGCGTTATTCTGTGTTAACCGATTAACCAATGTAATTGAATGTTAAATTTGTGCGCCCTGTGCCGGCCGTCGTTCTGATTTCTGTGTGCCGTTCATAACTTCAAGTGTTTGGCGCCCAGTGCTTGTTGTTGTTGATAAATGCGTTTCAACATAGTATTCACATGTACAGGGGTTATCACTGCGTGCAACGAACGCGTATCTTTCAGCCGCAATGTCGTTATTGTGGTTGTAAAAAAGTATCAACAATTAGTATAGCAAAATCGAAATAGTTTCAGTCAGTTTACATTTTTCAACTGCGCCATTCGAATCGACTCGGCACAGAAATTCATTCAAAAAAATTACACAACACAACAAAATATCACTGATTGAATGAAAATCACTTATTTTCGGTTTCTGTTCAGTTTGTCAATGGTTTAACTTTATTCAAAGAAATTTCCTTGAAATAAATTTGAAAAAATGAAGTTTCAATTGAAATGATGTTATATAATAAGTGCCATAGTTAAACTCATTTTATCTTCATCTTCGGAACCGTTGTTTTAAATTACTCTCTCAAAAAATTGATACTTCTTTCGAAATTTTCACTAAACTCATTGAAGTTAAAGCGAGTCAAAGTGTTTTGAATTCGGAAAAAAGCAGTAACCTTCTGAAATTAGTTCATTACTAGTGGAAAGCAATTGTTTTCGGTGAAATATGCGTTTGGTGATTTTAGAAACGTCAAAAAGCGTTGGAGAATGGGCTGCCAAATATGTTGCGAAGCGGATAAAAGACTTTCAACCGGGACCGGACAAGTGAGTTTCAAAGATTCATAACTTAAGTTTTGAATTTAAATGGATCTATTTTCTGTGATTGAAAACGCCGTTTCATTCATAGTGAATAGTTCAAAATTGTATAGATTTTCGACTGAAGACATTGAATTTATGTTTTTCATTGTAGATATTTTGTGTTAGGGCTGCCAACGGGTAGTACTCCACTTGGAATGTATAAATACCTCATTGAATACCATCGACAAGGGAAAATTTCCTTCAAATATGTCAAAACGTTCAATATGGATGAGTATGTAGGTCAGTGTGTGTTGAACTTTTCCAACCATTTTTGACTGGGTCCACATAAGAAATTTAAGCACAATTCTATAACAGACACACTTGGCTCAAAATAGGCTGGGAATCATTTAGTTTTTTCATATTTTAATTCCCTTTTCTTTCATTTTTTAAATAAATTTTCTGTCAATTTTCTTTCCACAACTAATCATGTCAATGGTGTACCATTTACCATACTCTTTTGTTTCGATCCAAACAGATTTGCCACGCGATCATCCACAAAGCTATCATCATTTTATGTATCAGAATTTCTTCCAACACATTGACATCGATCCAAAGAATGTGCACATTTTGGATGGGAATGCTAGTGATCTGAATGCCGAGTGTGAACGATACGAAGCGGAAATTGTACGAGCCGGTGGTGTTGAATTGTTTATCGGTGGCATTGGAGCCGATGGCCACATCGCATTCAATGAGCCCGGATCGTCGCTTGCCTCACGGACCCGCGTCAAAACACTCGCCGAAGATACACTTCGAGCGAACGCTGCCAGCTTTTTCGATAACGACATGAACCAAGTCCCAAAACAAGCGCTCACTGTTGGATGCGGCACGATTTTAGACGCAAAAGAGGTATGTACATTTTCTGCAAGTTTATTTTGCCCCGCTTTTTTTCTACAGTTTTTGTTTGTAAATTTTTCCATAAAATTGTACGCGAAAATCCGTATATACATATATATATACACAGGTGATGATTTTAATCACTGGTGCCCAGAAGTCCTTTGCATTGTATAAAACGATCGAAGAAGGTGTAAGTCATATGTGGACAGCGAGTTGCTTGCAGCAACATGGCAACGTATTGCTGATTTGTGATGATGATGCAACGCTCGAGTTGCGTGTTAAAACAGTTAAATACTTCAAGGTTCGTGATGATTTTGAACTAAATACAATACACATTCAAGCGCTAATATTTGCTTTGCTTCTCACTGCCTTTCGCAGGGACTGATGACTGTGCATTCGAAACTAATTGAAGACAGCACCGACTAATGACCACATCAAACGCTTGGAACTATTGACATGACCGTGTTTTTTTTTTGTTACTTTCCACATTCAATGGTTAAAGGAGTTTTATGAAACTGTCTCAAGCTATACTCAATGACATTAAACAATTGAATGTTGTTTAATAAATTCGATGTTTTGGTTTAAATCGATTCAGATGATTTCAATTTTTCGTCGTGTTTTTTTTTCTTCAAGTCAATGCTATTAGTCATTTACCTAACTCTCCCCCTCAAGTTCACTTGTTCTTATCGATGAATTTGATTTCGATATCTGTTTGACACATCCATAGCACTCAATCATAAATCTGATGATGTTGCATGCACTTGCAAGATTTCAAGTGTCATTTTTGTCTTGTTTTTTTTTTCTCCTTCACCGTTTCCTAACGCTCACAGTTGAAACTTGTTTAAAGTATTTTGTCTTGTTTTATTTTTTATATACGGCTGTATAAGACATCTAAAGTAGCCATTGTATGGACTGGGAAAATTTGCTTCGCATGTCCATCAAATGCTTCATGCTGTTCGCCTTCGCTTGCTCATATTTTTGTTGGTTGGAAACTTCACGTTGATTTTTAGCATGTCACTTGAAAACTGATTGCGTCTGACAAATCAAGCAAAACCGATTGCATTTGGCTGCAATTTATCAATATTTTGTATTTGACTATGTGCGCCTGTTCCCCGCGTGCGTGCTCACACAATTATTTCATATGGAATATGAAGTTCATCGATTTTGTTCGGTTGATTTTATTTCACGTCTGCTGGTTCTCTCTCACATTCTGATGCATTGGCAAACGACCGAACAGCCGTTTAAATAAATTAGAACAATCTATTCACAGTTGATGATTGCACCAAATACTCAAGACATGTCTGATGTGTATACAAATTACGTTGCAACTGAACGATGACACAGCAATTGCATTTAAGCGATAAAACGAAGAGATATGACGCGCATATAATTTTTCAGTGACTTTGTTTGTATTCCAAGTGCACGATGAATTTGAATTTTGAACCATTTTGAAGCCTTTTGAACTATTTGCTCAAGGAGCTTCCGAAGGAACGTCAAATGATTAAGGTGGTGAACAGATCTAAGCTAAATGATCAAAAGTCGTATTTAGAAATAAGTAAATTTAGAAATTTAAAAAGCTTATTTCTCATGTAAGTAACTCTTAGTTGGGATCAAAAAATGATTTTTGGATTTGATAAAAGGATCATTTTTGGTCATGACTTGTCACATTTTTGTATTCAATGGGAAAAAAAAGAAAAAAAAATGGCAAGTGTAATTGAAATATTGTGCAGAAATTATCAAAAAAAGCACATAGAACGATCATTGTGAAGCAATTGTGAGTGCAAGAACTGACCATCTTGGACAGAAACATCGAAATGTGGAATGACGCCGAGCGCATTGCAAATATTACAACAACAACAGAAAATTGAGTGGAAAATAATGGAGAAAACAAGCGAGCACAATATATAAATCTGCACAAATATTTGTAAAATGACTTATGTGTTAAAAAATTTCGATTTGAATTGGGTAATGTTTTTCACACGCTGCGTGAATCATTTTTTTTTTCTCTTTTCTAGCTTCTTTGATGCAATTTTGTGTGTGTGTTGTTGTTGTTGTTTTGTTCTTTCGTGTTATGTGTGTGTGTGTGCTGTGTGTTTTTTTGTTCGCGTTGAATCTTGTTTCATTCGTGCAATGCCATTTTTCGAATTGAATGACATAAAAGAGATGAAAAACCGGAAAAAAGTGCATATATAAATCTATCGAATTGTTCTATTGGATTGCGATGGCCATAATGACAGAGAAATATTTATAAATATATTATATTTTACGGAGTGCCTTTTGCCTCACACACACACACACATGGTATTACTGAATGTGGCCCGGCATGTAGATCGATCGATGGCAATCGGTATGCAAACATAAACAAAGTGTTTATAACGTTTGAATGAAGCTGAAGCGCTGAAGACGAACGAAAAAAAAAATAACCCGAACCGATGCCAACAAAACCTCTGAAAGAATCAACGATATCTGTGATGCGAGGAGTGAACAAGTCGATTCCGTATGCAAAATTCTTCGTAGTGCCGTTTTTTCCACTCCCTCTGTCCCTCTCTCCCTCCATCTGTATCCATTGAACGGCGGCTTCAGCGAATTATATTTAGTACTTGTTAACTATAACACACAATAATCACAAATTTAAATGTGCTCACAACTGTGAATTGGATATGGTCGATAGTCGTTGGTTTGCATTTTGACTGTGGCTGAATGGTGTGTGCGGTGCGCACTCTCGCACAATGTGTACATCATTGTCCAATTGCGCATGGCATCACTAGATTATCTGCACGGAGCGAGAGAAAGCGATTGAGATGGAGAGACAAAACGCAGAATTCTCTCGGCACCCAAAGAATCTACAAGACGTATGAATTATGGGCTCATTTAAAACAAGTTATTTCCCATACAGAATTTATTGTTGCTCTTTTTTTTCTCTGGTCTACGTAACATGAAAATTACGGTGTAATCTTGCTCACAGATGAATAAAAATAAAATCCTTCTACTTGATAAATATGTGGCAATCGCATGCACATATGCAAAAGGATGCAACAGCTATTTCGCGTGTATTGCATTGTGCAACGTTTGTTGTGCGGCAAAAAAGGGAGAGAGAGAGTGTGTGTGTATGAGACAGAGTGAGAGGACGAAAGAGATAGGAAGACACAGAGACCAAATGCACAGAAGAATTTAAGGCACAAGTGTCACGGAATTTGTTGTATGAAGTGAACGTACGCGCCAGTCAAACAGTTCGATGCAATACGCAATCGAAGATCACACAATACAAAGAGGCTGAGACACGGAGATGAGAGAAATATATGTGATTCGCACCGAGTGTGTACTGTTGCGAACGAGCAAGCGCACGCGCATCACACAGAGTTCAGCTGCGCATAGTTTAACGAGCGTGCCGAGATTACGGTCACATTCGGTTCGGTTCATAGGTCGATTAATTCCGATTTCGACTTGTTGCTGCAGCAATCAACTACAATCGCCTTTAACACACTCATGACTAATGTACTTGTTCGATCACTTGAAACTGTGTGTTGTCTTCTGTATATTTTGTTTCTTGCCGTCGTCTTCTTCTTCTTTCTCACTTCGACTGTGGTGCAAAAACGGCAACAGCAAAAACAAGCCATACGAAACAATATTGCTTTTTGATTTGTGATTGTCTTTTTATGTAATCGTATTTCGATTATCTGAGGTGAGGTGTTTTTAACGAAACGTATTTTAATTTTTAAATTATTATCTATCTTGCACTGGCTCAATTTTCAACTAAAAAGCTCTCGCAATGCGAGAAATGGTCGATATGTGTATGAGTTGGTTTACGAAAATCGTCAATTTGCTAGAGCAACAAACACTTTTCCAAGCACTCACAGCTATATAGTTTATCCCATGGAAATTGTCAGTTGTTTGTTCAAGTATTGAAACGAAAATTGATTTTGTGGCCCAATGACCCATTTTTTTTTTCTTCTCTCCATCTCTTTAAGTAACGACTCCGAAGAAGAAGAAGAAGAAGAAGAAGAAGAAAACAGCATCGAAATTATCGTCGTCAACGGCCAACGACATTCATCCAATCGTAATTTCCTCTTGTAAACGCTTTCGTATATAATATAATTTCGTTAGACCTATATCATGTGATGGTACCTTTTTGTTGCTGTTGCTGTTGTTGCTGTGCACTTTGCGTTAATGAGAGCTTTCAACTCATCTTTCGTTGTTGTTGCTGATTGTTTGTGTGCGAGTGTTTGTTTCGTCCACTTTCCTCATCAAGCATGAATGTGTGGAATTGTCATTCTCTAAATAAAACATTACATTGATTTCGCGGACTGGTCGCGGTGCTCATTCTTCTTTCTCTCTCTCTCTCTGTGTGTGTATGATTTTCAATTCGCTCTTGGCATCTCTCACAATAGTTATTATCCGATTTCAATGGAAACTCGCGCACACAAAAAGCATTAAAATACACGGAATCCATTTATCGCGCTCTTAAATGAATTTCTTCAATTGGATTTTCGGATTCATTTTCGCTATTAAACTAGATTGTGTGCTCACATATACAATGCTCCGTTTCATAATGTACGCGCGCGTCCGCTAGACACACCAAACCATGAAATTATAACGGAATGGGCAAAAGACTTGTTAAAATTTCGCAGCTGGTAAATCAGTTTTATTGCCATAAATTCATTTGAGTGATTTGTGTGTGTGTGTGTGTGTTTTGTTCAATGGTAAGCGGGCAACATTGTGAATCGAAATGTGTGAGAATGTGAAAATATTGATCGATAATCGATGTATGCGACTCGTTTCGCACTCTCGACATTCCATCATCATTTGCATTTCACCTTGTGTGTGGCTAGATCGAACAGTTTCGGTAGTTCACAGTAGATTAATGCATGAAAAAAACCAATTCCTAGAAGATCGATAAAGATTTCGAATGGCCGATTTGGATTCAATGATGCCATCGAATTGTTTTAAGAGAGTGAGCAACGCATTTTGTTTCTTTTGCCGGTTTTAATTCGTGAATGTGTTATGAATTACTTACCTATACCATAATTTCGAAAGTGTGAGAAACAATAATTTTTTTTTTCGACAAATAATTTCAGTACCAAATCGACCGATGGAGCCGTATGTCAATTTCGTGAAACTTTTCACTTGAACACTATTTGAACACGTCTGAGGCGATTGTTTCATAATAAACTGTGTTTTCCGCCGTAATATTCGCATGTTAGCCATAGATTTCTGTTTAGCCATAGGCAGTAGTACACATTGATGATTACGAACAGTTTCGACGCGTTTGTGAATATGAAAGATGATTTTTTCTTCTTTTGCTCGTCTGACAAATTGACAACTTATTAAATACATCTCAAAGTTATGATTTTTGAATGTTTTCTCTCTCTTTCTCTCTTTCCGATGGTGATATTTTGGGGCTTGACCGAACCATTCAGTCATAAGATGCCATTTTACTGGTTCATGTGAGCAGACGTCATGTGGACTTAGTAAATATCCACTTTAACATCATAGCAAAAATTGTTGGCCCAACACAAGAACAACAGCGATGACGACAACGGAACCAAAAAAGTGATTCATTTAAATGAAAATCACAACGTTATTATGTGGAAATCAAAATACTTATTTTCATTTCAAAATTAGACATTCGACTGAACTGAAGCTTCAAAGCACTTGTTTGAGTTTCTTTAGATAAATTTTCCCTCCAAAACCATTGGGTTCAACTTTTGCTGGACTGCAAATATCGGTATGCGTACGCGCCTGCCGCGAAACATATACCATATTGACCAAAAATTATTTCCACACATTTCGTTTACTTTCCATGGTTTCATAAAACATTTTCATCCACTAGATAAATCATAATTGCAATTTATTTTGCATTGATTTACGATTTCGCGTAGAATATTGACGATTGGACGAAGCAACATACACACACCAAATGAGGACGTTGTATTTATGAACGCACAACTTTTCTTCGCTCGCTCAACGGCTTGTGTATTTTTTTTTCCTCCCGCTGTACACACACTATAAATTTTAAGTTGGCGAGAAAACCATAGCAAAGTTGATTTTCAGTGTACAATTGCTCTTGTGCTTGCTCACGCGTTCGTGTGTTTTTATCAAATGTGAAATTCCTGAATTGTCTGACCAGTTTTTTTTTTTTTCGAGCGCATCGATGAATTCTATTCACATGCAACCAAACCGAAAAGAACAGCCAATAATTCACCGATCCTCTTATTTGTTTTCTTCTGCGCTGTGCTGTGCTCGTTTAAGGCTTATCTGGCTACGTGAGAAATGGTGCGTTTGCTATTTTCGTTATCTCTTTCTAGAAAAAAGAAAATGTTAAACAGCCAGGAAAGAAGAAGTCATGCATTCTTCAAATCCATTAGTTTTGCTGCCTATGCGTGCTTTTCTCTCATCTTTGCGACACATTTATTCTCACATTAATTAGCTTTTAAACTCAAATTTGCCAAAGTAAATCCAAAATTCCGTAGAAATTTGGTGGCTCCGAACAGCTGCCTCCGAAAACAAAGGATATTGACATCATTTAAATTCACTGGAATTCTCGTTTATCTAAATTAAAACTGGTTCAATTTAATTGATTCAGTTGGGTGCTTACAGTTTTTTTAGATCATTTTTGTGGGCGTTCGATGCGTCTTTTATTCTTCGTCGTCGTAATTATGGTTTGACGTGCGCGCAATGCACCGTTGTGAGTGAAAAAAAAGCACCAACCACAACAATCATACTACTTAATTTCATTTCTGTAATTGGACATATTTGAACGTCATTTCATGTAATGAAAGTCGTAAAGTTTACTCGTTTTAGATGTGGCTTTTACTTCAATTGCATACTGTTTTTTTTTCCTTTTCTTCTGCAATGAGATGATACTGCTTTTGGTGCCTTGCGCTTGGCTCACGACACAGTTGATAAGTGAATGTTGTTGGTCTTGCTTAGTTATATGGTGGCTTTTTCGTTTTAAAAATATTTGTCTCATTTGCAATCAACGGAGAAAGAAGTAAGCGCAGAGAGCGAAAACGTTTCTGTATATAGTATACTTAATGATCTAGTTATCGCTAAGCGCGCCTATTTTAATGGAATTGATTTCTTCTTCTTCTTCTTCGTCTTGTTTTTCTGTACATTTATTCGAAACCCTGTTACACAAAATATAGAATTTGTCGGGCATCCACAAAAACGATGGGAAAAAAGAACAACCAAGACGTAAGACCAAAAGTGGTTTTGGACTTATCAAGTGTATTTTTGTTATGAATTTTACATGAGATTCATAAATTTGATTTTTGAAAATCAAACCGTGCCCTGGACAACCACATGTACCGTAATATTGAAAGAGTAAAGAAGATGGGAGAGTGAGAAAGAGAGAGAGAGAGAGAGAGAGAGAGAGAGAGAGAGAGAGAGCGAAGAGAAACATTGGTCAGTTTTTTTTCTCACACTTTGAATTACCATAAAAACACGCGTGCCGCATTCCATTTGCGCGCGCATTTCAATACGAACCCATTGCCTCTGGTGGATTTATACCGCGATGCGGAATGCCATCGCTGCATATTAATTGACGATATTACACCATTTCGAGCGATGTTTTGGTTTTTCAGTCTCGTAGTGCACATAATTAAAAATAATTAGATGCGATCTTGATAATGGTGTGTGTGTGTGTGTGTGTGTGTTCATTTTTTCTAGATCGGTTTAATAAGGTCGATTAAATGGAGGAAATGTTTGAAAAACGGCCACGGTGATTAGCGAAAAGATTTACCACCTGTTCGGTTTGTGTTACTGTGCGCTAGAGAGTGCGCGAAAAACCAGCAATAGCATGGTTGTGTGGCGTGCCAAAAAAAAAAATAACAACAATTTTTTTTTGCCGTGGTGACAACAACCGTGGGTTGTGTTTTTGTTCAATTTTCTCATCGTCTCAAGTCTAATCAACATTTCATATGTGCATATTTAAATAAATGCGTATTTTGCTCGAGGTTTCATAAATTTCGTATTTTTGAATCATATTTGTTGATTGGCAAGCGAATAAAGTCCGAAAAAAGACACATACAGACTAGAAAAAGATGAAGCAGAAGCGACAAAAAAAAATAAACAGTTTAGTTCTGTTAGTTATTGGCTCAAGAAAAAAAAAACTTAAGTCGTCCAACAAATAACATACCGATAAAAATCCTCCGGAGAGAGAGAGAGAAAAACTCATATCTCATTGGTACTAATTTAATTTTTTTTCTATTATTTACATATTCAAATTAAATTGTCTGCGTTCGTCAAACGTGTTACGCCGTGACGATGGCATTTTTATACGAAATAAATGACAATTTAGCTGATGGTGTGCGGACAGTAGATAAACCTGAAAAAAATATGGCATGTGATAAAGATCGAATGATAGTAGGTTAATTTCCACTCTGATTCCTGGGCATGAGTAACGGCCGCGCAACCAATATGATCCAAAAACTATTGCAAACGCGTTTTTTTTTCTCTCAAGCAATACGGTGCTTGAACCGAATCTATGTGTCCATTGTCCATGCCTTCATGTTCTCTCGACAAATTGATTGGATATAAGCTGCTTCTCACGTGAGTAAACAGGTTAAATTCAACGACATTATTCCAATTTATCGATAAGATCGGTGAATTAATGTCAAACTCTTACCATCTCGTTTGAGCATTAAAATGCAATTCAAACACCAGAAAACCGATAATCACATCTATCGATCGGACGAAAGGAAAAAGAAACTGTTTCAAGAATGATGCATTTTGGAAACGACTTTCGTTTGTCATTGTCAACGTTAGGAAAGCAAAGAAATCTCACCTTGAATTCAACAATAAGCATGAACCTGTTCAAAATGTTGTAATACAGTTCAACATCAACCATTTTTGTCTCTTTTGCATTCTTTTTCGGAAGAAAAGTCAAGCATTTTGAATTCTTTTATTTTTTTCTTTATTTATTGTCTAATTAAATTGTCATAAATTTACTACATTTTCTCATTTTATTGACCTAATTTTACAATTCGCATAGACACAGAATGAAAGGATTTTTGTTTACTGTTGTTGTTGCTGTTGCGAGTGATATCCACAATGATTTGCAGCCGAGAGATTTACTATCCAAACTATATAAAACAAAATATTGGATCGTAACGTATACTATCAAAAGAGATCTTAAATGTTAGCTCTCTGCTCGAAAGGAAACGAGAGAGAGAGATGCTGTAATTTTCGGCATTTCATTTGGACTCAACTCGGATTCAACAGAGAAACGAAATGCAAAAAATCTAAACATATTAAGTTACATAAGGCTTTTTTTTATCCTTCTATTTGTTACTTTTGCTAATAAATTCCATCGACCTAATTAAAAACGAATTGTTGTTTACAATCTACTGCATTTGTTGTTTAATTCGGGATAAATGATACAAAACGAGATAGAAAGAGAGTGAGAGAGTGAGAGAGATAGACAGACGGAAAAATATATAATAATAATAATAAAACATACGTACATACAAAAATATTCCATTTTAACGAAATCATATTCAATTAAATAAATAAAAAGCACCAATTTAAAGTCTATAAAGATATTGGGAATATCCATTTCGCGCGTACACACACTCTCAATAAACATTTATTTAGAATATTGTATATCATTCACGATATGTGCGTGTGTGATTTTCTTCTTCTTCTTCTCTCATGTGAAGAAATTCGTATTTGGCAAACCGATTCGATGCCATTCTAATATCTCACCTTAAATATTACCATAATAAACAATACAATATAGAATTACTGCGTGTTCATTATATAAAATTATGAAGAAGAAGAAGAAAAATAAAAACTGCGTTGTTTGAAATGGTGTCATAAAACTAGCAAAATGTCCAGTATAGAAAATAGACTGGCCGCGAGCGCATTGAGTTCTGTTTTTATGGAAATGTATTCAATTTAAGTAAATAAAACGAAATTTGTTGCGAAAAAAAGGAGGAAATAAATTGAAATTCAAATGTATGTCTGTCATTGCAAAAATTGGTCAACAGTTCACGAACTAATTGTGAATAACTTTGATGCGATTTATACTCACATTTCCTATTCTCTTTTTCCTAAACAAAGCACACTGTCTTTCGGGGAGTGGTGAGGAGAGCGGTAAAGATGGGGAATAAAACGAATTAACGAAAACATAAACCAAAGTGGTTTTTGTTGAACTTGAACAGATAACGAACGCATTTGATTATATTGTAATGCAAACGTAGACCAAAAGAAGAAACCGTTTATTTATAGACATTTATATCTACGTATACTAGTAAGACAGAAAATATATTAAAAAAAAGGTTGGACAGACACACACACACACACACACACACACACACACACACATAAAACTGTAAAATGATTTTCATGTGTACATTTTCACACATCAAAACTCATGTTATTCTACGCCCTAAGTTTATAGCAAGTGTTTTCGTATTCTATATATTCATCGTTTTAAATTTATTACTTTGTGTTTTGCTATTTAAATAGTAATGCCCACGAACAGAAAGAGAAAAAAGAAACAGCACATAAAACAATACTTAAAAATTAGGAGCTATCAAAAAAAAATGTTGAAGAATTAAAAGGGGAGAGAGAGAGAGAGAAAAAAAACGAAGAAATGTGAAGTAAGCTACAATGGTCACATAAAAAAAGAGGATTTGTTAATTAATAAAATCGTAAAGACGCGATCGATCGCGATGTGAATTTTTACACTATATCATTTCAACAAATGAATCGACCGCTGCCGCGCATTGAATCAAATATATTAAAAAAATATATCGAGAAAAAAAAAATCGTGTTGTACAAATTACTGATCCCGATCAGATTCAAGCTTGAAACGAATCTCGTTATGAAATTTTCGTTTTCTTCTACTGGCTGCTGCGAACAATGATATTTTTGTTCTCTTCTACTGGCAAAACAATATATTCTTTTCATATTTACCATAAATTTCAGATCGTGAATCTTTCAATGCCTCAGATGCAATCATTTTACCATTCTATCATTTCTTATACAGAGTAGGCTTTAACTGACTTCTGATTAAATTCGATTTATTTATTTTTATCAGCCATTGGTGTATTTTTTTTCCTCTCTTTTCATTCATTTCAATGTAACAACTAAGCGAGCTAACTTTTATTTACAATTTATGCTCCATCGATTTTCTATTTTTTTCTTGTTGTCATTTCACCAGTAAACAAATTAATTATTGATTTAAATTTTTGTGGTTAGATCAAGTGGTGTAGTACCTTTAATGCGAATGCCATTTGCATGTTCCCGAATCGTTTTTTCATGTTCATTTCGACTGTCAGGCCGGCTATGGTCTGATGACGGTCTATTATCAATACTAAGCTCTTCTTCGGACGAAGCTGCACCGTCTTCATCCGATCCAAAGTCACGATGATCCATGTGCGGTGAAATGGCCTTTGCACTCGTTCCACCACTGCTCGACGATTTCATACTCAAATCAATTGGAGCATCCTGCGAACCGGCCCGATTCGATGGTGGCGATGATGATGATGATGATGATGCGGCTGTGGGTAGCGTAATATTTTTCTCACGCAAAGTGGATGTTGTTGCTGCCGTTGAATTTGATAGACGACTCACACTGCTCGTACTGCGCAATGAGGCTGGTGGCGGCGGTGGTGATGTTGGTGGTGTCATCGACACAACGATATCCTCATTTTCCATGTCTTCATCTTCACTTTTCGTCGAATTATTATCGTTTGGAGAGCATTGCGATTTTAAAACCGCATCCAAGTACCGTTTTGTCAATTCCTCGGCAGATTTACTACCTGTGATGTGGCATAGACAAAGAGAAATGGAAGGATTTTGGTGAAAAAGTTGGCATTCAATGTGAAGTTCTTGATTTTTTTCTTTTAATTGTTGGAAATTTTTCTTTTTTTTTTTTTACTATTTTTTCTTCTATTATTTGCATTCAAGTTTTAAAAAAAATGCTCGAACAATCGTCACTTACCGCAATTATTATTCGGCACAAATCGGCTATTGTTGTTGGCCATACTTTGGGCTGAGCTGAGCAGTGCAACGGAATCAACAGCTGGTTTCAGTAGGCCTTGATGTTGTGCATACAATGCTGGATGATAGCCCGGAAACATTAAATGGGACGGTGGCAAAAAACCGGGTGGTGGCATCAGGCCCGGGAATGACAATGGTAAGAATAATTCTTTATTGAACGGTGGAGGTGGTAACTGGCCACGGTTTTGCTGGTGTTGCGCTTGTGATTGTCGAAGCAATGATTGACGACGATCGCCCACTTCAACCGAACTATCGGAATTATGACTATCAGGTGAACTAACGGAAGGTGATGCAGACGGCCGTTTGCTATTGTGATTATTGTAATCTTCAAAGCCAAGTAGCATTAGTTCTTCTTTTGTCGTTGGCCGCGAATACAGACTCTGCGGATAATTTGAATGTCCGAGCATATTGATTGACGACGATGATGATGGTGGTGTTTTACGATTACCGGCAGCTGCAGCTGCAGCGGCAGCCTGCTGTTGTTGCTGTTGCTCTTGCAATAGGCAATGGATTTTAAACCAATTCGATCGACGGCCATAGCGTGAACCACTCTTTGACATACCAACCATCAAGCATTTTCGCAGCCGACAGGCTTTGCATGCCGTACGATTTTTCTTGTTTATTGTGCATTCACCATTGTTTTTGCATTCCGATATCGATGATAAATTGTTGTACGATCGCCCGAAAAACGACTGCAATGGAAGAAAAAAAAAGAGAAAAAATCAGTAAAAGAAATTGACGAACTGAATAGAAAAAACGCAAAAAAATCAGAGGAAGAATATTTAGAGAATCGCAACAGAATCGATAATGTGTTAAGATTGAACCTGTTAACTATGTGAATCAGAGCCATGTGTATCTTGATAGACATATAGTCTTGAGCTCACTTAACTTATTATTCAAACGAAATTCTCTTTGATGTGTGACAGAGTTTCTGTTTGGAAAAGCCGACCGAACGAAATGAAAGAAGAAGAAGAAAAAGATGGTATTTCAAAGAAACGGCAATCCATTTGGTAAAAGCAATTAAATCATTCACATCGAATACAATTTAAATTGGCCACTTCCGATGACGAATCTCGAAAACATCAGTCCATTCAGTGTCAATTTCGATGTGTGTATATAGATCGTATGGAGTAATTCAACAATCGTCGTTTCGCCCGTATTGAAAATATTCACATGACCAAAACGGTTCGTTTGAGCCGGTGGGCACGTCTTCGAATTGTGTTGATTAAATCGCTCTCGATTCACATGCTAATTCCATTCGGGAAGTCGGGTGTTGTGTATCTCTTGTGCGCGCCGCGTGCACACACACACACACACACACACACACACACACCGGACCCCCGAATCATAGAAAGTTCGAGTTCAACATGCAATCCACTTAATTCATGATCATTAAAGCAGCGAAACAAAATGTGTAGCAAAACAGGCACGTACACGGTGCCGCAATGGGTGCGCTTCTGTTGCTTTGCAATGCAAAGAACTAACACAAGTTTGTTTTTCGTTTCTTCTTCTGTTTTTTTTTTGGTCGGTCGATCGAGTCGGTGTGTGTGTGTGTGTATGTTTTACAATTGTTATTGTTTTTCAACCATTTAGACACATTTCGCCACCGTTTCCTCACTTTTCGAATCTAATAAAACAATTGGCGCAGTGAACATCTTTACATTGGACGACATGATACATATAAATGCCATTTGGGATTGGAAGATTACCACGAATGCTGCTGAAAACGACAATGACGACGACGACGACGACGACAACAGCTCAAACCCATTCATTGTGTGAGCTCAACATTCTCAAACATACGGAAAATTAAACAGAGACATTGTTTAGCCGTCAGAGTTGATCGCAATGGACACTAATAGCATGCAACACAAATGTTGAACATCAAACGCGAAGCTAAAGTGAATACACAGCGAATACCATCCGCACCAAAAACACACCGTATTGCTACGGTCGCATTTCGACGTTGTTCCGAACATCATTATTTAATTCACTCACACAATTAGATAAAGCATGCTCATCAATCGCACTAGAGCGAACGAATCGAATGTTCGTCGCTTTTGCACTCCTTTGTCTGGCTGCTGTTGTTTTGGCCAAGTGGTCGCGCTCGAGCTTAAAGTGTTTCTGCAGAATTAATTATCTTTTGTTTAAAGTCTTATTTTTTTTTCTCGTTTCTTTTGTTTGTCTGCGCTTTTTCGGTGCAAAATGCACATGCGGTTTGATGTTATTTGCTGAACATGAACCATTAAATTGAAACAATATTGAATTTAAGTGATTTTTTTTTTGTGTCCATTCGTGTTTAAATGTCTGCGCTAACACTTCCTATGAATGCTAGGGGACTCACGCCAATTTCCATATTTAAAATATGGATAAATAATATGAATTTGTTTATGTTTCAACATATTAAACAGATATGTATGCATAATTTCAATTTCGCTCGATTTTGTTCAATAAACCGACTGTCAGCAGAACCATGTCTAATCTGTTGCCGTCATTATCGCTTCAAAAATTCTGGAAGTGGGTTTTGGTGGATCCTCAGGATTGTTCAAAACCGCTCCTGGTTCTGGAAGTGGATCCTCAGGATGGACCAGGGCATTGTCAAACCCAGTCTGATCCATCCTGAAGATCCAGCAAAACCCACTTCCAGAACCGGGAGCAGTTTTGAACGATCCTGAGGATCCACCAAAACCCACTTCCAGAACATATTGTTCAAGGTGAATATGAACAATAACAACGCATTCGGGAAATAATACAAAATATTTGAAATCTAGCGTGAATTTTACATGATTTAAATAATACAAATAGATTTTGCTGAATAAAATTTGGCGTGAATCCCCTAGTATGAATGAAATGCACTTGATGGGTTATCTATTAGTTCAGTAAGTGGGCATCAAGACTCATTCACTTAAAATGTCAGATCAAATAAAAATGAAGCAGTGCTCGTGTTTTATTTTTATTTCAGCAAAAATGATGATGCGATCAAATTCAAACAACACCGCAAAATACGCGGTGAGTCATGATTAAAATCATTTTTCAGTGTTTCAAAAATACTTTTGCATTCAATGTGCTAAATATATCGGTAGATGTCGATGTGATAACAGCACACAAGTGCTAACGCAGAAATGAATGGGTTTGCCGATATACAATCCAATTTCTGTTGTTGTTTTCCGTCTCTCTCCCCCTGTCTGTCTATGTTTATGTGTTGCGTTGGCTTCAATGTTGTTTTGCTACTGCTTCATTTTTGTGTGCTCATTGCATACTGTTAATGCAATGCGTCTGACAGACAATAGTATTAACAGGAGAGGAAAAAAAGCACAACACACACACACACACACATACACACTCAATGGATGAATACGACGGGGCAAATGAAAAAAAAACCTTCGAAATTTTTGTGATTGTTAAATAACGTGCCAACAAAGCATTAAATCGTGTACTTGTGTTACATTTATACTTATAAATTGCTTTACTTAATATTTGCTAGCAGAAAAAAACGATTTCGTTGCGCTATTTTTGCGTTGATCTTTTTTCTTCTTCTTCTTATTCTCCTTCGCTGTTCGCTGTTCGCTGCTGCACAATGTGGATGTGTGCGAGAGTGTGCGCGATCCAATATATTTCTTTTTTTTCATTTCGCTTGCTTGCTACACTCACAGCACGCTGTGCACTGAGTTTTTGATCATTTTCTATATTCTCAGGCCCGCGCACTCGTTCGTCTCCGTTTAAACAGCAAACACATAAATTTGACGGCTATTTGTGTGTTATTGTGTATGAATCCATGCATATCCATATTGCGTTATCGATGCTAACGAAGAAAAAAAAAATTGCTAGGTTTTTCTTTCTCTCCTTCTTCTTCTTTACAATAAACACTGAAATAGATAAATAATACACGATAACATAAACGACATGGATTTTGGATTTGCTCAAGTGAACTTGACCTTGAGCTTAAAAGCCGAAACAGCGCAACAAATCACATTGCCATTTAATCGTTATCAGCAACCTCTTCTTCTTCTGCGGCTGCTTTGTTTCGGAATTGACGATATGTTTGCGATGTGGGACACCTCTTAGATGATAATATTCAACAGCGATTTTTTGCCTTCTTCTTCTTCTTTTCTCGGCTGTGCTTTGAATTGTATTACAAAAGAGACAAAAATACAACGCACATAGCGCCTAATAGCTCTTTGTAAATTGTTTGACCAACAAAGAGTTCGAATGTAATGATGTTGATTTCACATTGATTCAATTACCTTAGCTCATTTTCAAAGGAAATACGACAACGTTGACAACAACGACGACGACGAATTACACACGAAAATAGAAACAGCGCTTTTTATTATTCCAGTTTTCATGCAATGTCTTGCAATTGAATGCACACCGAGGGTATGCGCTCGCATGTACAGATAATAATAAGCGCACATCGTTTCAATTATTTTCCAAGCATTCAATGACAGATACAATGTAGATCGAATTTACGAACGAATTGAAAATGATTCTCTCGACTCTTTTTTTGATTGGAGAATCGTGCTCGGTAGCTCTTACGTCAATCGAAGATTTGTATGCCACTTAACAAACAAAAAAAAAACGAAGCGAAATAGATAAAAAAAAAACACTTCAAAAGGTGCTCTACTCTTTCTGTCAAGCATACTGGTATGTGGCCGACATCGGGAATTCGTCCCAGCAAATAATCTTAACGAATGTACAATCAAAACAACTAATTTTCATCATTTTCGATTTGCATGTTGAAAACAATTTACATGATCAAGTGTCCCTCGATTTGAAATGTGCACTATTTCGATTTTATTGCGCGTGTGCGCCCGCTCGATCGGTATTTTTCTTCGCGTCTCTCTCTCTCTCACTCATTTGATTGTTAATCGTCAATGTTTGGTCAAATAATGCGAAATTCCTATATTGCAACAGCATTGAACCAATACACTTACACAACGCGAGATGAACGAGATATTCATTTAATTTGCGTGTTTATCGCAGATCAAAGATCGGTGTAACAAGCGTAATAAAAAAAAAGTGTTCCTTTTGTCTATATTCGTCTCTTACAGAAAAAGAGAATAAAAAAATACAACAAAAGACGTGCCTTACAATTCTACCATATCTACGTTTTATCAGTCGTTCATTTATTTGTAATACAGAGATAGAGAGAAAGGAAAAATCACTGTATTTTTGTGTTATTGTTTCTGGTGAATTCGAACATGCAAGTCAAATTACATTGGATTATATAGATTTATCACTACAATTGGATGAAGGTGGTGGCGATTGGACGTAAAGTTCTTCGCATAGATTCCGCACAGATCTCGTGCTGCTGAAATTTCGCTCGCTGTATTTGCACCTGATATTATTACGACTAACAATAGAAATGACGTTAAGACAAACGACAATCGGCCAGACAAAGTCGTATGTTCGGTGTAGCGTGCTACAATTAATTTTCTGTTGTTGTTTTTTTTCGCTGTCCACCTAAAATTTGCTTTGCATACGTACGTACGAACAAACAAACAACTCTCTGTTTTACTTCGAATTTGGTCGGCGTTTTTCCCAAGCCAGTAGTTGCGTACACAACCGAGCTGTTTGCCACAGTCGATTGGGAAACAAAAGGCAACAGCAGCAAAAGAACGAAAACAAGAAATATGGCCTTTGTACAATTTACTACCCGATAATTGCATCTTTTCAGTCTGATTACGGCAAGCGATTGAGCCCACCGCGATCGAAACCATCGATATTAACGTGTTTACTACTGTTTTCGTGCCTTCGATTTCATTCGGTATACATTTGAAATCGGCAATGTGCCGATGAGAACGGTGCGCAATAAACAAATGTATCGTCTGCCAAATGAAACATGATCAGGTGATAGATAAAGATGTCTCTCCGTAGTTAAAAATGCTAATTTTTTGTTGTTGCTGTTTTTTTTCTCATGAATTTCTTCATTGTTGATGTATGTATGTGACAAGAAAAAGAAGAAGAAGAAGAAGAAGAAACAACTAAAAATGATAGCATCGATCACAATTTGGCTTGCATATCGACATAAATCGCAAACCAATTTAACCTTGAGTGAATTTTAATTATAACTTGATATTACGAACAGCGCGCTTCCACCGCTATAAATCAACTATTATACTAATGTTGAACGTTGTCGACGATTCGTCGTGGAATATTCGAACAATTGTGGACGCGCGCGCGTCCATCTCATTCAATTTTCTATTATTTATGCGAGCGATTCAGTTTATACATTATATATCGTGGCAGTTTTCAATCACGGATTTAATTGCACATACTTTTTTGTTTTCCCTTCACAGTGTAGCGTGAAGTGTCATGAAATTCATTTGTGATCGATTTGCATGATTCTCCGAAGTGGTTAATCAGCATCAATCATATCAGCAAAATCAGTGGAGAAAAAAAAAAGAGTCACACGAACAATCAGAATTGAGAGAACGAACAAAAAAAAAATGGTATGACTTAAACGATATAAATAACAAGATACACATAATTTACGGAATCGGATATAATATAGACACGAAGCACCGTTGCCAATGAGAATTTAGCAACAATATCGAACATTAAAAACAACAACAACGGCAACATCATTTTGCAAGAGACGTCCATTTGCTGCTACGAGGTCAATTAAGTAATGAGATCAGTGGTACGGAAATCGGATGATGCAGTATGCAATACTAGACTCTTTTCTATTCGTTTCGAACCGACGGTATGAACGAAATTTCGGTTTTGCTTCTTTTTTTTCGTGAATCGAAGCAAGACTTTCGGTTTCAACTGGTATGCAATTGGAATGAGCCCCAAAAAAAAAACGTGGAGCGCCGAAATCAAATGGGCAAGCCACAACAATGGCCATGCCGAAAGAAAGTTTCGCAATGTTTGGCCGGATTGATGACATATCATTTGCATTTAGAATATTTAGCTTTACTTGAAGAATGAATGAACAAACGAACGAATGAATGAACGAACGAATGACTGTGCTTTGTTGGTTTTGTTTAAAAAAAAAATGAAGTAAAACTGAATATTTTTTCTAAGCATGTCTCGTTTTTGTTGAAATAATTCTCGTTCATTTTTCGACATTTTGCTTCATCTTCGATTTCATTGAGAAAACCAAAAGTTTCGCATGTTTTTCCCAATTGAGCGGAAGCATTCAATGCAAAAATTCATTTATAAAAATAGATTTGGTTCGAAAAAAGTGAAATAACTTTGTTTGAATGTAATTTTAGCAATGTGTTTTGGTTTTTGTATTAAAAAAAAAAAAAAAAAATCGCAAAATTACTTACCTTGCATCCTTCACAAGTGAATGCGCCAAAATGGAAACCTGCAGCTGGTTCACCGCATACCTTACACGTTTGATTCATGTTGTTATCTGTGCCGTACATTAACGAGAAAGAGAAAAAGAGCATGAATAAACAATATACCAACATCTCGTGCTAACGTTTATGGTTTCCTAATGAAACGCCTTAATTGAATAATTTGAATGTTGAGCCAAGCGAGCGAATAGAGAGCATAAATGGTAATATAAATGATAAAATGGCACGAAAGGCAACCAGCGAAAACGAGGTGAGAAATGAACACCATGATAGAACCGGCATCCGTTCGAATCGAATACGGTAAATTAATTCAAGTAAATTGGTTGCTGATCGTTGTAACACTGGCAAAGGATATATAACAGCGGTGTGTGTGTGTGTGTGTGTTTGTGTGCGATTCAGAGTGAAAGAGTTGAAAGTAGCAAATGCAATTGCACGCACACATTGTAAAACACCTAGATATACCCACTAATTTACCATTTTATATGACTTTATAATTTGCGTGTCATACAATTTGACTCATATTTCTAAATTAATTTTCTTGCATGTTTTTTTTCTCCACATTTTACTACTCGCCACGATGGATGAATGTGGAGCTGGTTGGGCTTCTGCGCGATTGCGCTCACTGCCAGCCACAAGATTATCTTCATCGTCTAATTTTGATTGCATGTTATTTATTATAATTATACGGTAAAACGAAGCACACAGCTTCGTGTGCCCCATGCGCTCTAAGCATAATGCGCACTTTGTAGTTTAGGTAGTTAGCTGCTTCACGTTTGCTTGCACGCGTTTTTCTACAACACAAACATACACATGCACCAAATGGCAAATGCCAATGGAGTAAACGGTGAGAACCGTCTCTGAGTCAACTCGAGTCCATCTCATATTCATACCGTGAAAATTCACTGAATTAGTGCACAATCGAGCTTGAATTACTGGCTACGGGTGACAAATGTGACAGTGGATTAGAATTCGTTGTTACCGCTAACGAATGAAGTAGCCATTTCTATCGTACCAAACACGAAGCAAAGTTTATTCGATATCGTTTGCAAATGAAACATCATCATTGCACGGACATGCAGCTCATCGCAATCCAAACGGAAAGCAAGTAAATGATGGCATTTGAAACATTGTTAACAATACTTAAACATCAATAAGACATGATCTCATGACGTTTTTATCTACCGAAATTTCCTTCATTGGCTCAGTGAATGGCAAGGTAACATGAATTTGAGCAAAGTTTTTTGTGTCTTCAATCGCAACATTGTCATTGAAATCACTTCACTTGAATTATTTGTCAAAATCAAATTTGTTTCACTGGAAACAAATTTTTGTTAAATCTTTTCGAAATAGCTATTGCAGTCAGGGTGTGTTTGGTGACCAAACTTTGGTCTGTGTAACTACAATGGAATGTAGTTTCGGCGAAAGGATGATTTGCGAAATTGTGTATGGTTTCAAAGCGAGTCACCAACGGAAAATAGGATTATTTAAATCAAAACGTTTTCTGTATGCTGGCGAAGTGCATTTTCAAAGGACATTTTTCTTTTAAAAGATGTAACAGATCCAGGCTAGCCTCTATTGGTGGAAAAAAGCCTCTCTTAGTTTAACTCGAAAACAGCAGGACACGTTTTGAATTTGTGTCGGTTTCCGAGTTGTACCCGGCTTACAAATTTGAAGTCAAACACGACCGACGCAGAAAAAAAGTCAAAACGTCGATGTGCTCAGGAGTAACCCGCAGAGTATTCGGTATGTTTGTGTGTCTTCACATGTGTCATTACGATGACTTGCAAAAGATTTGTGCAAGATTCCTTCTTACTTACAAGACGGAGAGAAAAAAAACGATTCGGTTTAATTATTTAATGCAGAAAAACCCATAGTGTTTTGGGCCGGCACTGAATGTCACCATTCATGTGCCCATTTTTTCGGCATTTCGAATTTTGTGTGTGTGTGTATGTATGATCCATTTCAATTGTTACTTCATTATTTCATAATCGGGCGACATAAATTGGCTTTCATTTGTTTGTCGCATCTCTAATGACACATTGGTAACCGGAAAAAGAGTGTCTTCCATCTCATTCTCACAAAATACGTTTCGGCTGTTTTCAAAATGTCATGATGAACGCGCGCAAATGCTCTCGAAACTAGGAAATTTTTTCAGCAGATGACAATCATTTATCAATTGCTTAAATCTTTGATTGTTGCCTTGTCGTTGTTGTTGTTGCTGTTGTTGTTTTTTGTTTCCACTCAAAATATCGCCTTTCTTTCATTTGTTTTTTTTTTCTCTCTTTTTTTTGGGTGTGAATTGGTCTCGATGAATAAAACATGAAAGCAATGAAAATAAATCAATCATTTTTTCTGATAGACATTGAAACGGAAAATTGAAACTGAGCCAAATTGAGGCTTCGATATATAATTATAGATTGTGTCACTCAGAATAGGACGTAATGGAATTATTTTAAAATTACTAAATTTAGCAACGAAAATAAAAATTATATTTTTTTAGGATGAGTCACTTTATTTTGGACTCATATATATATACATATGATTCAACTCAAGCAAAAACTATGAGCTAAAATTGTTGCTTGAGTGTATGACCATCCGAATTACTATTTATGCTATCGATATCCGTGCGGCGTGAAATGGTTTTGCGTCATAAACGGCATCGACGTCGACGGCGACAATAAAATAAAAATTCGCTTAACTGTTAATCGCCATAAAAGTTATAGTCTAATCAAATGATGCGACAGCTGATGATTTTTGATTATTTTGATGTGAAACGTTTACACGGTTATTTGAAAGCTACGAACGATCGAAATTCGGGAAGACGAAGGAGGAAACAAAAAACTGAAGAGAAACATGTTGTGTTAAACGTTTTCAGAGACACAGCGAGAGAAGGATAGAAAAAAGTGCTGTTTCATCCAGCTGATTTATTGTTTGTTGTATATTTTTCATTCTTTCTTCTTTCTTATTCACTTCAAACAAAGTCATACATATTTGTATAGCTAATCTGGCGGAAAAGGTCTCTCTTTGCTCGAATGAATGGAACAAATTCTATGAAAAATTATGATTGATTAATTCAAAAAGTGTCGTCCCTAGAGGAGAGAAATGCTTTGATGCGTCTTGAGACATTGACATTCAATGCAACACGATGAACCGATTTAGTTGTGTCAGAAAAAGGCGATCCACGACGACGATTCAATGGCATTCATATGCATCTAACCGATTATTCAATCGTTGCAATGAATTCACTTTTCGACCTTTTTTCCCATTTTTAACGTCTTTGCACTAAATAAAAATGGTTTACGTTTAATAAAAAAAACTTGAATCAAAGGTCGATTGAACGCGTTCGTTCGCTCGCTCGAATCGCTTCAATTTTTCAAGTTCGATTCACGTGGATTCGTTACATTTTTCAAAAATGATCGCAACCATTCTCGAAATCTCATTACTTATTATTTAGCTGTTGCTTCACAAAAGTGATTTAAACTGAAATTGAGTCGGATCTTCTTGCATTTCGTGGTGTATTTGCGCTTTAAATTATATCCCGGTTTCGCGTTGTATCTCAAATCCCGATCGTGCATCGATCTTAATCTTACAGCAACACACGCAAAATATAAAAACAATAGATGGGAGTCAGCGCAAACAACATGAGCTCTATTTCCATGTTTTTTTTTCCCTGGCTATTGCCGTTTGCTGTTATTATAATATTCGTTTTTTTTTTCATTATTCGCCTCTTTTCGAAAATTAATGTAATAAAGATCAATTTTTCGGAACCAACATATGGTAGGTTAAAGCGTGTTTGCTCCACACTAACCCCAACACGGTACATGAAATAGAGAAAGAAAAAACAACGCTATTTTGAAGACTTGTAATATGACAACGGCAGCCAGCGATAGAAAAAAAAACGAACTTCATCGAAATTGTTTTGAGTCATTCGAAGTGAACGAAAAAAAAAGCAGCAGTATGACCGATATTACAGGCACTTGGTCATTTCTATCTCGTCATACCACAGCATGTTGTAGACATCTTCATGAAAATTGGCGCGGCGGTGAAGGAGAGCAAACGAACGGACGAGAAAAGAAAAAAACCACCGCATAGCACAGCATAGCGCAGTATAACAGAAAATTGTGATAGCGTGACAGAGTTTAATTTATATTAGATGGGCATTTAGCGAATATGAAAGAAACTGGTGCACGATGATCAATGTGAAAATAATAAATTGTATGTGTACAACGTATTCAACGTTCGAAAAAAGAGAGTGAGAGAGCGCATCATCGGTTATTTCAATTCGGTTCTTCGCTTAATTTGTGTATGTGAGTGTGTATTTCTGTTCGTTTGTTGTGATCGTACGTCTAGTGGTATCTTCTTTTTGTTGTTGCTATATTTTCGTTGTTTATTTCTGAATCTATTAGCGAAGAGACGTCCCCGGGCATTTCTTTGCAATATTTTCCCATTCCTTGGAGATCTATTGTGCGAAAGATGTTAGTTGTTTTTCGCTCTGCTGACCTCACTCGCTCCTTCACTCTAGACCACGTCTCCCTCTCTCTCCGTCTCTCTTTCTGCACAGCCAAATGCAGACAGAAAAGATTTTTCGCGTTTCGTTACAGTTTGAATGGGTCGCGGTCTACACACAGCCTACATAAAAATTGGCTTTTCCGCCACACGGCATACATATAGAGAAATATGTCCGTGTGTTACCGTAAGGCCGTGTTGGCCATTATTGGGCCCGGACAAAATTGAAGATCGATCGCCCGGCCAAAGTTGACAAATGATACGGCCAATTTTATGATTATTTTTTCTGTTGTTGTGTTTCTCTTGCTGGGTGTGTGTTGGCCTGCTTGGATTTTCGTGGGTTTCGGAATCAAATGTTTTGCAAGAGAAGGAAATGGATAAGAATGAAAATGATTACTATCAAATTTCCCAACATTCCGAACAATTAATGTTGATCAAGAGGTCGTAGAATGTTAGCGAGCGTCAAACGCGGCAGACCTTTATTTCAAGCGATCATACGTTTAAATTTTTTTTACATCTCCCCGTTCCCCATTCTCTCTCTCTCTCTCTC